GCGCGCTGGCGAATGTCGATTGTTTGTGGCGAAAGCAAAGTAACGGGGAAAGGAGGGGCAGCATGACAGCGGATTATGACTTTTTTGTGTTTGTGCGCGCCAACACTTTGGCCATACGCGTCCGTATGCCAAACAATGACAAAGGAAGTGCAACGCACACGAACACATGCGCAGAGCGGCTTATGCGCCACTAAGTATGCTATGATTATGTGTGTATGACACACGCACACGCACACATACACAGCACTTGCATTGACAACAAAAGAGAAATTGGCGGTAATTCGCCAATTCAATACTATTGTGGCTTTGACATTTCGACCTTATATCCGCAACACGTTGATATTTATTGCCTTAGAAGCTTTTATTGTGTATGTGTGGGCGTATGTGCAAATGCTGTTATGATTTTATGGGTATTTGTATTGTTTTAATGCGATTAGCTGTCGCCTTTTTGTTGTTATTATTCAACAATCAAGCGAGTGTATGAAAATATTGCTAGCATATATAAAATAGATTTAGCGATTAAATTTATTGAAGATGTTAATTTTTTAGAAATTATTTTATTCAAGTTGTGAAAGGTAGTAATCAGAATATATCAGTTGGAAAGAGTTATCCATAAACTTCGTGATAGATATATACTATAAGTCTAGGAGGGCACTAGAGCCAATTTACGTAATTAACACGTCAATTGAAAAGTAACTGGTCTGATACATTGATGACGCTGCTAGAATTAAATCCGTATGATTTTAGTTAGCCCTAACCTTCATACGGCGCGTGCATAAATTTGACAGCTGTCAGATAACTATTTTGGAAATTACATCATTTTGAGTGAAACATATTTTGTTATTGTGAAAAAAATGGATTCAAAACAATTTCGCCTCTTGACAAAATATAGCCTCTGGAAGAGACAAAATACTATTGAAGCAAAATTTTAGCTTGAGGACGAGTTTCCGGATACTGCTCCAGGAAAATCAAAAACCAAGAATTGGTATGCTAAGCTTAGACGTGGTGAAATGAGTACCGAAAACGGTGAACGCAGACCATGCCTGACGAAAACATCAAAAATGTCGACAAAATAAGTTTGAACGACCGTAAAGTGAAGTTGTTATGGATTGCAAAGATATCAACTGATAATGTACATCATATCAGTCACGAATATTTTGGTATGAGAAAGCTCTGTGCAACGTGGGTGCCGCGTGAGCTCACTTTTAATCAAAAGCAACGAGGAGTTGAGAATTCGAAGGAGAGATGTTCTAGTGTAATAAACTCAAGTTTTTGCATCGATATGTGACAATTGATGACACAACATTTCACTCTGAGGTCCAATCGACAGTCATACGAGTGATCTGCATACGATGAGCCCGTTACAAAGCGTGAAAAAACGTAACAGTCGGGTAGCAAGGTCTGTATTTTGGGATGCCAATAGAATGGGAATAATTTTTGTTGACTACTTTAAAAAGGAAGACCATCAACAACGACTACTATATAGGACTTATTGGACAATTTGAAAGACGAAATCGCCGAAAAACGACCGCATTTGAAAAAAAGAGATAGTGCTTTTTCCCAAAGACAATTCACAGTGTCACAAATCAGTCCAAACGATGCCAAAAATCTATGAATCGGACTTTGTATTATTTCCGCATTCACCGTTTTCATCAGATCGGGCCTCCAGCGACTATTTCCTGTTCTCAGATCTCAAAATAATGCTCGCTGGTGACCGTTGAAATTGTGACCTATTTTGAAGCGAAAATTTGAAAAATTTGTTCTTTAAATTATTTTTAAAGACTATAATCCGAGCTTACGTTAGCACATGTTATACATGGCTACTGATCTGAACAAAGTTGATGGGAAAAGAAACTCTATGTGCATCCAGCTCAGAATATATTCAATAATCATCTGCAGAAAAGTAGGATGTGGAGACCTCATCTGCTTTGGAAATACGAAATACAGGGTGAGAGTGCTGTTTGTGACTATACAACTATAATGTCTTGTAGAAAATCATTTTTTTTTATTCGATATATGATAGAACCTAAGCCAACCTAAAGAAAATACTATGCCATACATATTTTACAATTTTTCTTCGATAAAAGCAAAAACTAAAGCTAGGCAGCCCGAAATGTAAATAACCCACAATTCCGTTCTGATAATTGTAATTTCAAATATGCACCATGCTCTGGAAGGCCAAACTGTCGAAAATATCGATATATTATCCATTTGGAATCGTTTAGATAAGACTGGATGCAAAATGAAGCTCTATCCATGATTGTCAGGAGTTGATGCAAAAAAGAAGCGCTTGGAACAAGTTTACATCCGAGAATCGCAATAATCGTTCTATCTCTGTAGCAAAGTGGTCATGAGAAGTGGTTCACTGAGGACAACGTCAAGTGAAAATGGTTGCGATCGAAATACAGCGAGTCAACCTAAACGGTGACCAGCCAGAACTGAGCATTAGGCAGGTTTCGTCATATGTTTGGCGATTGGCAGGTAATCATCTACTATGAGCTGCGCTTCTGCGGACAAAGCCTTGATTGTGACTCGCTAGAGGCTCTGAGGGCTCAAAGTAGTTTACTGGTCTCAAAATGTACGAATATACAAGGTGGTTTCCAAAGTAAACAGGACTTTTTGAGTATAGCGTCCCCTGGTGGCGCCGTCTATATGTCGACCGGTGCGTTAGAATCTGTTATCTTTATCGATTGTTTAGTGAGAATATCATGACATTTCATTGATTGGAAGTGAAGTTATTGCGTTTTAAGTGTCAGTATGTTTGTGTTATCGTTGCGAAAATGAGCTTCGAACAAAGAGCCAACAATAAATTTTGTTTTAAAATTGATAGAGCTTTTACCGAAACGTTTCAATTGATGAAACAAGTTATGGACATAGATGACGATCAATATGTGGGCCAATCAAAATCCGTGATCACCAGAAATTCCATCGAATGTTTTATGAACACAAAGAATTTGTTCCACCCGGCCATAACGTTAATGCGGTATTCTACCTTGGAGTTTTGAAGCGTTTGGTGCGCCGTATTCGACGTGTTCGGCCCCAAATATCGCGAAGATGAAAGTTGGCGTCTGCGTCGTCTCAGCGATCGACGCTTGTGACCGATCATTTGAACAAAAATCACATTTTAACCATTAGCCACTCCCCGTATTCACCTGATTTTTCGGAAAAATGTATTTGCCCATGAAAGGAAAGCGTTATGCAGACGTAGAGGCCATTCAAAAGGCTTGCACCGGCATAGTGGCGGCCATACCGGCCAACGGGCTAAAACACTCGTTCGACATGCTTTTGGACCATGCAAAAAGCTTTATTGAAGCAGAAGGAGACTATTTTGAATAAAATAAATTGACTTTGCTAAAAAGTACCATTTGTTCTGTTTTAAAAAAACGGGTGATCCAAATAGAGGTACTTTTTTAAAAGCGTTTTTTGGCGCGTGAAGAAAATATAGCAGCTGTAGCTGAGAGTGTACACGAAGAATGTGGAGAGTTTGTTCGGCACCGTTCGCAGCAACTCGGACAGAAGTATGGAACGACTTGACGCACTTTTCGTCGGGACCTTAAATTGAAAGAATACAAAATACAGCTTGTGCCGGAACTGAAACCGGTCGACCTTTCCAAGCGAAATCGCTTCGCTCTATGGACTCTTGAAAAGTTTCCAGCAAATCCGACGTTTTCTTTTTTCACTAAGAAGGGCCATTATCGAACTACTCTTTTCTTCAAGGAACTTAGCAGAGATTATTGTCTAAAGCGATGGTGCAAGTTCCGAAGAAACTGTTCAGAGCGAGTCACTAAGGCATCCATATATATGCCTTACAGAATTAGCTATAAAAAATCTTGTAAAACATCGTTTGTATTTCTGAAAGGTACTACAGCTCCGGTACAACCAAAACCGTCTGATTGACTACAATATCACACATTAAAATAATATTGTGGTAATATTGAGCGTTAGAAATGTTTAAACAATATTCTAAGTAAATTTTTTAAACTTAGATATGTACATACGTATATTTTTAGTGACCAACTTGGAAAACTTAGAACTCGAAATTCAAAGAATTTTGTGGTGGGAGACAACCGTGTCAATATAGCAGCCTATATATGAGCAATGCGAACATGCATTCATATTTGACACTTACATATACATATGTATCTATATAGTACAAATGGTAGTTCCTACTTGACTATCCCACCGTATTCTCCTAGGCTCTCTTCCGCATTTTTTTCTGTCATTGCATTAATAAATAATTATATTCATGCCAGTTGGTGCAACAGCTAGTTTTTCCATTACTATTATAATAACAACTACAACAAGAGCAACACAATAATAACAAGCGTCAAAGTGGAAAAGGCCGTGTCGTAGCGTGACTGTTTGCTCCGCAGGACAATGACTTCCAAACATCACTACGAGGCACTGCAAGGCATGCAACAAATGCATAGAAAAATCTATGTACTTATGTCTACGTGTAGTTATGTAGTTATACATATTTGTATAATAGTTGTAATGTGCACTTTGAACTCACTGCTGCAACCTTTTCAAGATGGTTAATTGTGACGTTGGCAAAGCCAGTGCCATTCTATGCATGTGTTTACAAAATTGTATAGATGTAGTGGTGCATATACATATGTTTGTATGTTAACGAGTTCATGAATCTAACATTCACCGTTAGTTATGTGCTGGCATTCAAAGACATTAAATCCTAATGACTGCATATATGCTTTAAGGCAGATAGAAATCGCTTCCGGGCAGTTATGTCTGTATGAACATACGTAAATATTCACAGTCAAATATACATACATATATATATTTATTTTAAGAAAAGTGTTTTTCAACTATCTAGGCATTTTGTATGAATAAACTCACAATAATCCCTTAATTTATTGTTTATATAGGAATTGTGAAGCAAAAACCCGTTATTTCAAAGTTTACGACCTTAGTGATTATCAGATTTTTCAAACTCCCAAAAAATTCAAACAAATACAAAATATAATTATTTTTCCTACACTTACCCCACTGACGGTGCTTTTACCGCCTTTGCTTCCGCTTCCTTTTCCAATTCCGAAGAATCCGTTTTACGCGTTGGTGGACTGCCAACCAACGGTGGACTGTACACACGTGGTGGACTGGTCACCTTCGGTGGACTATGCATTAGAGGTGGACTCTTGACGAGTGCCGGAGAGCGCATCATTGGTGGTGATGGCATTACCGGTGGACGATCGCCCTCCGGTGGACTCTTCATCATTGGTGGTGAGGCGCTATGTTTTGAATTTGCCGATTTTATAGACGACGGTTGACTACGTATCGATTTGATAGAAGTTTGTGGTGAAGCCACCGCAGCCGCCGAGGCTGCTGCTTCAACCACGTGTGGCGAACCAGAGGCAATAGATGCTGCTGCTGAAGCAACTGAGGCGGCGGCAATGCTACCGGCACGTGACGCAATGCTACCACGTACACTGCCACTGCGACTGGCATTTCGACTGCCGCCATGACTACCGCTGTGGCTGCCACTGCGACTGGCGCTACGGCTGGGACCGCGACTGCCAGAACCGCTGCCACCACTGATGCTTACGCTGCTGCGTTTTTTCTTCGGCGAACCGGAAGCTGGTGGTGTTGGCAGCGGTGTGCTGCGTGGTGTGGCTTGTGATGTTGGCGTGCCGCGCGTCTCGACCACCTCGTCAGCTGGTGTGTCGGCAGTGGTGTGATCTTCACTTGGTTGACGATCGGAGATTGGTGTACGTTCGCTGTAGGCTTCCTCTTCTTCCACTATTTCATCAACTTCCATGGGTTCTACTGGCAGTTTGGGTGACATTTCATGGATTTCCATTTCTTCTTGCTGAATATCGTCTGGCTCTTCATCTTCCATGCCTAAGGGTGGCGGTATATCAGCTAGCATCATGCCGGTATCCTGTTCCAATTCACCCAATTGATCAGCAGGTGGCACAATCATTGAGGAACCAGAATAACCATTACTTGGTGGTGTGGTTATCGTCGTAGACTCATCTTCATTTGAGGATTTATTTTCATCAATCATATTGTAGGCAGTGCCTTGCGTTATACCTTGTATTAGTTCACAAGACTTCACTTCGATAGCCGCAACCAGAGCAGCAGCAATAACATCACTTGGCTCACCGAAATCCGGTGGCGGTGTAGCCGGGCCATCTCCAGGTATAAGCTCCCTACTACGTGGTGGCGTACCAATTGAACGCGGTTGCGAGCTGACCGAATGTGGTGGCGAATTAAGCGAGCCTTGCGGCGAACCCATGGAACGTGGTCGGGAGCCTATAGAAAGCGGAGGCGAAACCAGCACAACACGTTGTTGTGAACCAGACGAACGCGGTTGTGAACCAGCCGAACTGGCTGGCGAACCAGTTGAATGTGGTGGTGATTGTGGTAGTGGTGCATGCTGCGGTAATGGCGGTGGTGAATTCGGTTGCGATTGATCACTCTCTGAGGGCGGTGTCAACGGTGGCAATGGCATTGGTGAATGCATCGGTGGTGGTGGTGGCGGTGGTGAAGTCAACTTCGTTGGTAATAACATTTTTGGACACGGCGGTGGTGTATCTGGTGGAGATGGTGAAGTTGATGGCGATTTAGGTGGTGTAGCGACACCTGCACCCGGTATGCCCACACCATGTCCACCGTTACCATGTACATAAGAAAAATTTGATGGGAGTGGCGGTAGTGGTGGTGGCGGTGTAGATTTATCATCATCCTCTTCTTCTTCCTCATCCACATCGGCGTCGTCACCTTCGTCTTCGGTTTCGATTGGTGGTGAAGGTGGTGCCATTGGCACTGCGCGTACAGGTGGCGGTGTTATCATAGATGGTGAAAGTGGTGGTGGTGGTATCATTTCCAGTACAGATGATGTTGGCGATGCAGGCGGTGAGTCAAGCACGGTGCCGATGGGTTGTTCTTGTGGTGGTGGCGTTGGTGGTAGATCATCGTGTTCGGTGAGTGTTGGCAATGGTTGTCCCTGCATAACCAGCGGTGGTGGCGGTATAAAACCGGCGCCAAGTACATCTTCGGGTGCGACGATGGGCAAGGGTGGCGGTGGCGGTTGCTGCGGTTCGAGGGCCAAAGCGCTGTTATCCACCTCTTCGATGTCGGAGTCAATGCCTTGCGCGAAATCCATGTAAAAGTTGTCACGCGAATCGCTCGAGCCGCGACGTAATTTCAAGGATAGATCAGGGGAACTATCCATGATGGCGGTTAGGCAGCACTATAACGGTGACAATCAACACTGATACACTGTTCGAGCAATGTTTCGATGTCTTGTGTTTAATTTCTTCAAAAGTTTGAGTTATTTTTTTTCGTTTCTAAGTCACGTAAGCACAGTTAACTCTTTGCATCCGCTTAAACACTGCACTTAGGCATCTTCACTGCGGCTTGAGGCGCCATCGCCAAGTTCAGAGACCTACAATAAGAACGCACACCAGTATTGTTTAATTTTACGACAAATTCACTACGTCACAATTTTTTCATATAATTTTTGGTTGCTTTCCGAAAACAAATGTCTCGCAGGGCAGAGGCCGGACAGGTCCTGTGAGGAACGCTCGCTTACACACACACTTCAACACAGCTCGTGCTTGCCACTTCGGTTAATGGCACAAAACAATTTATATTTTTGTTTGCGCTCTTTCCGCGTAATAAATGTGTGACAGCGAACGATAACAACAGCAACAACAATAAGCGCTAGAACGCATTTATATTATTAACGCGTCTGCCAAAAAATCTTGAGCCTCCAGGAGACGGCAAAAATAATGCGTAGCAGGAAAAAGAATACAGAAGCTGGAGAGTATTTAAGGGAGAACAACACAACCAAACCAGCGTGCAACCCCTCCAACGAGTTAAGCACAGGTCCACATACACACGCACACATGTATTTATTTGTAGCGAAAGGCTATGTTTTCTCTTTTTGTGGTGAATCGTCCAGACAGACAGACAGGCATACAGACAAGTAGTTTCACTTATGCGCACTTTCGGTTTTTCCGAGGAACCATAATGTACTTGATGTCTGGCGGTTGACGCAGTGCCAACGTAAATGCGTGGAAATTATCTCCACCAACAAGAAATTACCAATAGTTTGTGTATAGGCTTTTAAGTGCATTAATATCGTCCACGAATTCGGCAGACACTAAATAACATCCAATACTACCAATGTCCACATGTATAAATGTACTGTGTGTATGTGAAATCAGTTGAGTTGTGGCAGCCGTTAAGCTGCTTTGTTTCCTCATTTTCACTCTCACTGGTGTGGCCCACTAAGTGGACCCATTGACAATGGAAATATCAATAAGAATTTCATTGCTAATGCTGTCATAAATCTTTACAGTTATTCTTATAAAAAACTCACTAAGCTACATAATATGTGAGAAAGAAATTACTCACAGTCAGAATAAATGGAAACATTGAGAATAATGGTGAAAGGAATCATTGGCGCTTAGTAGTTTATTTATAAAGAACTCGTACTTTGATGATGGTTAAAGTACAGATTATAACCTGTGTAGCGCTAGTATCCAGCTCTAACTATTCAGCTACTGAGACCGTTTTGGTTGAAAGGAACGTGATATCTTCCTGAACAGGTCAAATTCGTGTAGTTCGAATAAGACTTTCCCTTTATACAGATTCATAATTTTGGTAATATGCCAGCATTTAATTATGCACACATCAGCTTCTTTGTAGAATATGGTCGGAGGAAAGCATACCCGACGATTGGAATTTAAGCGTGCTCTTCCCAATTTACAAAAAGGGTGACCCCACAATCTGCGCCAACTACCGTGGGCTAAGCCTCCTCAACATCGCATATAAGGTTCAATCGAGCGTATTGTGTGAGAGATTGAAGCCCACCGTCCACAAACCGATTGGACCTTATCAGTGTGGCTTTAGGTATGGATATTCAACAACTGACCATTATAATGGCGTATTCGACATACGCCACAACACAGACCACTCTTCGTCGATTTCAAAGCTGCTTTCGACAGCACGAAAAGAAACTGCTTTTATGCCGGTATGCCTGAATTTGGTATTCCCGCAAAACTAATACGGCAGTGTAAACTGACGTTGAGCACTACCAAAAGCTCCGCCAGGATCGGGAAGACCCTCTCCAAGCTGTGCGATACCAAACAAGGTTTAAGACAAAGTGAAAATAAGGAAGCAAATCAAATGGGGCTGGTAAAGAACAAAAACAAGAGAAAATATGTCCTGTTATCAAACAAACAACGCACTCGTTACTTGGGTTACACGTCACTATTGGCAGTCATAGCCTCGAAGTCGTAGATAATTTCCAGCGCCAATATTAACGCCAACCAGTATAACAGAATAACTGTTTCCAACAGGTGCTACTTCCGACTCAATTGATAAGTAAAGTCCTCTCTCGATGAACAAAGACCAAACTCTATAAGTCACTCATTATTCCCGTCCTACTTTATACTGAAGAGGCATGAACGAATGAGGAAACAACGCGTCGCGACTCTAACAGTTTTCGAGAGAAAGGTTTTGCGGAAGATTTATGGTCCTTTGCGCAATGGCAACAGCGAATATCGCATTCGATGGAACGATGAGCTGTACGAGTTATACGACGATATTAACATAGTTCAGTGAAATAAGGTCATGTCATTCAAATGGATAAAAATACTCCAGCTCTGAAATTCTTCACCGCAGTACCACTGAGGGAAGCAGAGCAAGAGGAAAACGTCCACTCCGTTTTAAAGAACAATACGAGAAGGACTTGGCTCACTTGGCCTCTCCAATTGGCGCCAAATGGCGAAAAGCCTGATCGACAGGCACGCCGTTATGAACTCTGCTATAACCGCGTAAGCAGTTTCTATGCCAATAAAGAAGAATTTAGACTTTAGCACGGATCTTTATGTTAAAAAAAAATCATTTCAAGCAAAAATATGTTTTTAACATTTTTAATAAAAACAATAAAATTGTTTGATTGAAAGTAAACATTTCAGTACTGTCTTGTTTTTGTATCAACTTCACTCAGCAATCTCAGTCTATATCAGCTGGCTTTTAAACGTAATCTCTTTAAACTCATATTTGCTATTTGGTATTAAATTTGAAACATAGCTTTTCCTAGCCCTTCTATCTTATCACATTATAAGAGTTTCTTTTTGACTATAGCCTTAGATTCAAATTACTACCCAATATGTATATGAGAAAGTATGCTTATCCGCATAAAATAAATGACTTCAAAGTTGCATTGAATGATTCAAAGATTGGAGATCGAACTTATTACTGCATATCTAATTCTTATAGAAGCATGAAAACATTGAACAGTTCGACAAATTTGAGGCAAAGGTAATCCTACATATACATAAAAGAAATAACTCTTAGAACAGAATGAAATTTACAATTTCAACAGTTAGATCAAAGAAAATGAAAAAGAAAAGAGCAACAGGTGCCCTAAGTGAAAAAGATATACACATATTCATAGAACATTACCAATCGAAAACATTAACAATTACACAGAAAACGAAATAGACTAGTCCTTCACAATTTGCGGCGTATGCTTCGGATTGTTATCATGTTGACAGGTTCAACCGGAATCAAGATTTCAAATTATGTTCCTAACACCTCTTCATTTGTTACCTAACCACAAATGATATACCAGCTAACTAAAAAAGACTGAAATAAGATAGAGAAAATTTAGCAATTTTGGCATACCGAGTTTAGACAATAGACGAATTTTTAATCGCGACCAAAGACCTATCGTGCTCTCCACTAAGACACAATGACTCACATAGCCCCAGCTCGTTGATTAATTCCAATATACTGTTAGCTGCTATTTGATCTCTATTAAAAAACAGGGATCCAAGGACCTTAATCCCAGCAGAATTGGAACGTGCTCTTTTTTGTTGAAACAACTTCTCCCACAAAGTTCCTTAGTTTCTTATTCACATTTAGGATCATAAACTATTCAGTGGCATAATGGGTTGGCATGAGAATTGTAGAGAAGAATCTTACAATACCTTAAGTAGCGGACATTCGAAAAAGTTTGTCAAGCTGCTTGTCTTGAACCAGCTTTTTTTGTTTTTTAATTTATGATTTTTATTTGGGAAGACTTCACGTCCGACACGTAGGTAGTGTTTTATTGCATCCTTACTTTGTCTAGGACTGTTTCAAATCACCTCCCACTTCTTCTTGCTAGGGGATTTTTCGATAATCGTAATTCTGCAGTTAGAATTATAACTTAATGTGATAAGTAATGGTAAATAGTTCAACTAGTAGAAATGTAGGGAATCCATATAGAGGCGGCTTATATGGACTTATAAATAATATTAACCTTTAACACTGCCTCAACACTCCAAACGACCAACATCTTGAGCACCTTCGGACATCCATACAAATTGTGAGCACTAGCAAGAACTATCCACGTTGAAGAAATAGTTTTGCCGATCCAACAATGTATGATGAATTTATGGGCGTTTTCATTGCGCATGCAATGCGAGAAAGTGTTTCGAGTAAAGACGCACTCAGCTGTGCATACGATTGCATAGAGATAATCACAATCACTGCCAGCACAGAGCAGACTAGCCATATCAGGCAGCTACTAGATACACATCGATATGCATAGGGGCAGTTTCAAGTTCGGTGGAGGGGGGGATGAGATGATATTGGGCGGCCAAGCATTGTTCAATTTGAAAGCCAACGAAAGGGATAGTGTAAGCCATAATACATAATAACCACTTGACTCGTAGCGAACCACAAACAAACGTACACAACGAGGCGAAAGTCGTGGCCGAAACGAAGCATGAGGGGAGCTAAGTAAATAGTAGCAGGAGGCGGTAGTAGTTGCGGTGAGCGTGGGTATACGTGGCTATATGGGAGTGTTTGTATGTGTTGTTGGTAGTGGAATGCAACTATGCTGCTGTTGCAAATGCGAATGTGAAACCGACGAAGCGTTGTAGTTGTACAATAGTTTCGTTCGGTTCGTCGTTAATTGTAGTATAGAATACAATAGGAGGCTGACTGCGAAAAAACCGACGATAACTGTGTGGCAAAGTGTGAGATTGTTTGTCAAAGGATAACACTTTTCCTGCCGCCACCGAAGTGGGCTAAAAAGTGGCATTGTTTTTGCCTAACATTGTTGTTTCTTTTTTTTTTTTTAATGGTTTGGGGATTATAGTGTGTTGTAATTGCATGATATTGTTGTTGCTGTTGTTTTTTTTTTGTTACTATTGTTGTTGTATAAAATTT